CCTACGAGGACTGTTATAGGATGGAGAGTCTGTATTGATTATAGACGTCTCAATGATGCTACCAGAAAAGATCATTTTCATTTACCATTTATTGATCAAATGTTAGAAAGAATTGCAGGATATGGTTTTTACTGTTTTCTTGATGGCTGTTCAGGTTATAACCAAATACCAATTGCACCTAAAGATCAGGATAAGACAACTTTCACATGTCCTCATGGAACATATGCATACAGGAGAATGCCATTTGGTCTGTGCAATGCCTCTGATACATTTCAGCGTTGCATGTCAGCAATTTTTTCTGACATGACTGACAAATTTCTTGAAATTTTTATGGATGATTTTACACTCTTTGGCAAAACATTTGAAGATTGTCTGTACCACTTGACTTTAGTTCTTAAGAGATATGAAGAGACAAACTTGATTCTGAATTGGGAAAATATCATTTTATGGTTACAGAGGAAATTGTTTTAGGACATAAAATCACTGATAATGGGATAGAAGTTGATAAGGCTAAAATTAATCTTATAGCAGGATTACCCCCTTCCATAACTGTTAAAGGCATTAGAAGCTTTCTAGGTCATGCAAGTTTTTACAGACGGTTCATAAAGGATTTTTCAAAGATTTCAAAACCTCTGACTAACCTCTTGATGAAAGATGTTAAGTTTGATTTTTCAGGTGATTGTTTGATAGCTTTTGACACCCTTAAGGAGAAATTATCAACTGCCCTTATAGTTGTGTACCCTAATTGGAGTCAACCTTTTGTGGTTATGTGTGATGCTAGTGATACATCAATTGGAGCTGTTTTAGGCCAAAGAAAGGATAAGATTTTTCGTCCCATTTACTATGCCAGTAGAATACTGAATGAGTCTCAACTGAATTATGTCACAACAGAAAAAGAATTACTGGCAGTAGTATTTGCATTTGATAAATTTCGTTCTTATTTGATAGGAACAAAGGTCACTGTTTTTACTGACCATGCAGCTTTAAAATACCTCTTAGCAAAAAAAGATACTTGACTTAGATTGTTAAGATGGATTTTACTTCTGCAAGAATTTTCCATTGAGATAAAAGATAAAAAAGAAACAGAGAATTAGGTAGCTGACCATTTGTCTAGACTAGAAGTCCCTCCCCTTGAGTTCAGCGAGATAAAAGAAGAATTTCCTGATGAACACATTTTCTCAGTCAATCCTATTGTAACTCAATCACCCTGGTTCGCAAATATTGCTAACTACTTGGTTGGAAGATGTACTCCCCAAGATCTCTCTTACTAGTAGAGAAAAAAGCTTATTTCTTATGCTAAGTATTATTTGTGGAATGAACCTTAGTTGTTCAAAATTTGTGCAGATAATATCATCAGGAGGTGTGTACCTGAACAAGAGATGACCAAAATTTTGTATCAATGCCATAATGGAGCAATTGGAGGTCATTATGCTGCAAACCGTACGACATTTAAAGTATTGGAGGCCAGATTTTTCTGGCCAACACTCTTCAAAGATGCCCGAGCATATGTTGCGCAATGTGACAGGTGTCAGAAAATAGGTAATATCACTAAGAGATATGAGATGCCACTACAATCAATACAGGTATGTGAAATATTTGATGTTTGGGAAATAGATTTCATGGGTCCTTTTCCTTCTTCTCATTCATTTGAATATATCCTTGTGGATGTGGATTATGTATCAAGATGGGTTGAAGTCATCCCCACAAGGAAGAATAATGCTAATACAGTGTGTAATTTTCTTAGAAAAATATTTTTACTAGATTTGGCACACCTCGAGTCATCATTAGTGATCAAGGAACTCATTTCATGAATAAGCAATTTTCTGATTTGCTATCAAAATATGGTGTGACTCACAAAACTGGAACACCATATCATGCTCAAACACAGGGGCAAGTTGAGGTTTCCAACCGCGAGTTAAAAAGAATTCTTGAAAAAATGGTTGAAATTTCAAGAAAAGACTGGTCTTTAAAATTAGATGATGCATTATAGGCATACCGAACGACGTTCAAAACGCCAATTGGAACATCCCCATATAAATTAGTCTTTGGAAAGGCTTGCCATTTTCCAGTTGAATTAGAACACAAAGCGTTTTGGGAACTGAAAGCATTAAACTTTTAATTAACCTCTGTTGGTAAAAAGAGATTTTTTCAGGTTAATGAATTAGAAGAACTGAGGTTGGAAGCATATGAAAATGCCAGAATATTCAAAGAAAAAACAAAAATATGGCATGACAATTTGATCCGACAAAAAAGTTTCAAAATTGGAGATCAAGTACTTCTTTACAACAGCAGGCTGAGGCTGTTTCCAGGAAAATTAAAATCCAGGTGGACAGGTCCTTATAATGTTACAAATGCTACTCCATATGGGGCAATTGAAATTCAACAAATCAATGGAGGAGATAAATTTAAGGTAAATGGTCACAGATTAAAGTTGAATTTTGGAGGACATTTTGAGCAACAACCATCGGTAACCTTGATAGCCTAAACATTCCGCTGTTAATAAGTCACGCTGACGATATTAAACTTGGAACTATAATTTCTTTACCCGTAGCCATTGAGGGTGAAGCAATGGAACCTCATAAGTCCAATATAATTTATACGAATAAATGTTTAACCAATTGATCTGGTTAATATCCAGATTATTGTACAACCGGGACATCCATAAAAGCCTCTACAAAAATAGAGCGATCTATACAGGAGTAATTTCATGGTGGTCGGTATGTCTAAGTCACTGGTTGGTTAACCATCTTATTGTATAAATTATATTGGCTCAGGTAAATTTTTTGGTTTATATCAAAACCAGGACCCCATGACTGTTAATGTGTTAAATTAGTCCAGTCTATTACACATAGAACATGTGTCGTTACAGTTTCTTTCAAGCTTTCTTATGTGACTGTAAACTTGAAAGCTAAAAAGATTTTTATTTTTTAACCAAAAAAAAAAAAGTTCTTTAGTACTTTATGTATTTATAAAAAAAAACAAAAAAAAGTTTTTAGTTTTCGTAAATAAAGTACTACTTATATATAATTCTCTTTCATGGATTATTGTTTTACTGTGGGTATTAAATTCATAAAATAAGATCTTTCCATTTTTAAATAGTAACTCTTTTCTTCTTGTATCACATCACTTCCAAGTTTATTATTCCAATTTTGTGAAAGCGAGGATTTGCATCTTCAACTCAAGAAATCGTTGGAATTGAGAAGAGTTATGAACATCAATAGGTAGATTCAGTAATTCTTTATTAGAACTTGCTCAGAATGTTTGTCAAGGCGAAATAATAGTTGACACTAATTTCTGAAAAATAAATTAGGCTTTCTTTGATTTCTTCTTTTTGGCCTGAAAATGCAACCAAAACAAAAAAATATATCCCTAGTACCCAACTTTGAAGCCTGTAAACCATTCTTTCTTGTCACACCACAATCTGAACCAGTAAATTATAGGTACCTTTGTATATGTAATTACTTCTTCCTAATTGTTTCTCTTCAGCTAAAAGTTCAAAGATGGAGCTTATAAAAAAAATAAAAAATTGGCGGTAGAAAAGGCAAAAAAGCAGCATACATATAGATTCTTCATATAGAGAAAACTCTATTGTACAGAAAGTATTGTTTAAAAAAAATATATGAAGAAAAAGAAATTGCTTCAAATTTCAGAATATATATAGCTTCAATAGCTACAAATAAAAAAAGTCACTATAAATATTTCTTTTATCCTACCAGCCTGAAGCCTAATATTACAAACCGAAAAAGCCCTAAAAGATTTCAGCAAAATAGTGTTTAAACTACATTAGTGGTGATTTACATAATAAGCAAGCCTATGGATAAAGAAGTACAATTCGTATTGATGGTGGCCATAAATTTATCAATTCTTAAGAGTCATAGGGAAAGAAATGCAAGTTCTCGCCAAACAAAGATGGAATCATAAGAAAGGTAAATGTTTTGTGAGGTTGAAAAGGTTAATCAGTTTTAGAAAATGAGGAAATTCTTATCTTGAATAAATTTTCTCTCCACAAAGCAAACAATAATTTTTGAAGAGAGTTATTCAAAATGAATAAATAAATAAATTAATTAATTAAAAAATATTTTTTTCCTCGAGGACGAGTAATAGTTCAAGTATCGGGAAATTTGATGAAAATAAATTATTCATGTATTTTCATACGTATAAATAAANTACTCCATCAATAATGTGTGTGTGTGTATATATATATATATATATATTATAATACTATCTCAGTTTTAATACATTCTTGGTTTGAAACTTTCTATTTATATTTTATATTGTGCTATAATAATAGTTTTTGACTAATCATTGTTATCACTTCTATATATTTTATCTTTAAGTTACTCTCATATTAATTTTGTAATTCTCACANCTTTTGAAGTCACAACTTCATGACTTAAAGTTGCAACATCATCTCACATTTGCTACATATTTTCCATAAATAGACACTCATAATGTATTGTGAAAAGAGGATCTGACGAGAGAAGAACTATTCTTGGTCTCTNGCAGGATTATTGATTTAGTAAAAATATTCTCACGAAATTTTTACTATCTTTTAGCACAATTCAGACCAGAAGATATTTCGGTTTAACCGTCATCAATTTTAACTCAATTAATTACATAACCTCACGGAGTGTTATCAGTTAATTAATTCTTGGTGAGATAAGATAATATTGTATTAGCAATAAACAATTATCCTTTAGAGAAATATATGTAGAAAGTGAGATTTTATTATAATATATTATTAAGTGAATTCAACGAATCCCAACTCTTTTTTAAATTACAAATCTTTCGAAATTTGTTTAATTTTGTTAAGCATTTAAAAAGTTTTAATTCCACAAACTTTTCATCAATCTGATTCTCTCAAATAGTAGCTAAAATATTATAAGTCTGTAGAATAGATTTTTCAATCTCTGTGGGACGATATTATAAACTATACTAGAATTTGACAAAGCACGAGTAGGAAAATCCTATACACATTGGCCTCGTCATTTACTCAGAAGATGAATTCAAAATTAGTAGTCATCCTTGTCTATGTAGATGATCTTCTAGTGACTCGGAGCAGTCTAAGATTGATCCAACAAGTCACGAAGGATTTGAAGGAGAGGTTCAAGATGAAAGATCTTGGTGAACTGAAATACCTTTTAGGGATTGAGTTCTCTAGATCTCAGAAAGGAATTGTTATGTGCCAAAGGAAGTATGCTCTAGAACTAGTCTCTAAACTAGAGCTAGCATGTGCAAAGCCAGCAGCAACACCTCTGGAGTTCAATCATAAGCTCACATTCATTGAGTTTGACAAGCAAATACCAAAAGCTGGGTCTACAGTGGATAGAGAACTTGAAGACAGGGGAGGCTATCAGAGACTAGTTGGAAGGTTGTTATACTTAACCATGACAAGGCCTAGCATTGCCTTTGTGGTTCAAGTGCTAAATTAGTGTATGTATGCACCTAAGGTTTCTCACATGGAAGTTGCTCAAAGAGTGGTGAGGTACATAAAAACTGCCCCTGGATTTGGATTGTTTATATCTGCAAAAGCAAGCAAATCTTTGTATGCATACTGTGATTCTGATTGGGGGACTGTGTAGAATCAAGAAGATCAGTGACATGCTATGTCACGATCCAAAATCCATTAAAGATCGTGATGGCGCCGGACACCACTGTCAGCCAAGCCAACACTAAATGGTTAATTAAATTCTCTTTTTAATATTTTAGAATCATAAATTTGCTTCAACTTAACTAGTAAAAGATGATCCTTTCAGATTAATAATAATATTTCTCAATTTCAATACAGAATATCCCAAAATCGTCCCAGAACCCGGTGTCACAAGTGCATGAGTGTCTACTAGGAATTAAAATACAATACAATAACTCTCTGGAATGCAATATTTGACAGAAAAGAAAACACAAGTACTCTGAGGGAGATTCTGCTGGCTACAGATTGTCTCATAAGATGCAACTCACCTAAATCCCCGTATCGACCATGCTACTGCGCCTACAAGGCCACTGAACACACATGTGCCTGTATAACAAAATGTACAGCAAGTGTAGTATGAGTACGAAAATAACGCGTACCCAGTAAGTATCCAGTTTAACCTCGAAGAAGTAGTGACGAGAGATCGACTCCGACATTTACTAGTGGTCCAACAATATGATAATATGAAATTCTAATTAAGCACGATTTATAGAGATAACAATAAAACTTAGAACAAGCACAATTGCTTCATCATATTGAAAACCCCCCAAACACTTCCTTCTTTTATAGCATTTGATCATTCAAACAACGAATTTATACAATTTATAAAAGGAAAAAGGGTTTCCAAATCTATTATCACACAAGAATTCCACCGAGGACTTTCGGCCCAATCCAACATTAATATAAACTGTAAATCCTACCGAGGGCGTTCAACTCAATCCAACATAAATATAAATTGTGCACTGTCAAGGATCGAACGGCGCAAACCATAGATGCATCTATTATCCCGCTCGCGAATCATACATGCAACGCGTTCAAATATAAATTTACCATTTAAATCATATCTCTTTCTTGATATCATTTGCGGTGCGGGTACACCAGACATCAGCTGCCTCAACTCTTCTTCAAATTCTAAATTCGATCTGTTAACCATCCAGAATCCACCTAGGGCCCCCCGAAACCCCATCCAATTATACCAACAAGTTCCAAAATATCACGCAGACTTGTTCGAGGACTTAAATCACATCAAACAATACCAAAATCAAAAATCGAACCCCAATTCAAGCTTAATGAACTTTAGAACTTCAAACTTTTACATTCGATGCTAAAACCTGCCAAATCACGTCCGATTGACCTCTAATTTTGCACAACAGTCATATGTGGCATTACGGACCTACTCCAACTTCCGAAATCGGATTCTGACCCCGATATCACAAAGTCCATTTCCGATCAGACTCCTCAAAAACCTTCGAATTTCTAACTTTCGTCAAATGACCCCAAAATGACCTACGGACCTCCGAATCCACTTCCGGACGCGCTTTCAATACCAGAATCACCATACGGAGCAATTCCCAGACTCAGAATCCCAAACGGACATCGATAGCATTGAAATACACTTCAACCCAAATTTATGAAATTCTTTCAAAAATGCTAACTTCCACAATAGGCGCCGAAACACTCCCCTGTCATCCAAAAGCCGATCCGGACATACGCGCAAGTCCAAAATAATCAGACGAACCTGTTGGAACCCTCAAATCCCAATTCCGAGGTCGTTTACTCAAAAATCCAACTTTAGTCCATTCTTCCAACTTAAAGCTTCCGAAATGAGAATTTTCTTTCCATATCAACTCTGATCTTCCCGAAATTCAATTCTGACCACGCGTACAAGTCATAATACCTGAAGTGAAGCTACTCATGGCCTCAAACCGCCGAACAATGAGCTAGAGCTCGAAATGACCGGTCGGATCGTTACAGGCTATGCAGTAAAATTTGGTGAATCACTAATATCATGGAAATCAAAGAAACAGGGAACTATGTCCATGAGCTCTGCTGAAGCTGATTCCGAAGTATGGCCTCTACTATAGCAGAAGTGGTGTGGATAACAGGACTCTTTAAGGAGCTGGGAACTGAACTAGTTCAGCCTATACAGTTGCATTGTGATAGTATGGTTGCTATACAAATTGCAGCTCACCCTATCTTTCATGAACGAACCAAATACATTAACATTGATTGTCATTTTGTGAGAGAAAAACTAGTTCAAGGCCTGATTAAAACTCAACATGTCAGAACAATTGAGCAGCTAGCAGATATGTTAACTAAGAGTCTATGCACGCCACACACGAATATCTATTTAGACAAGCTGGGAATGAAAGATGTATTTCATCCCTCAGCTTGATGGGATGTTGAGTATAGTGAGGCTCAGTTAAGTGTAATTAGTTAGTTAGTTAGTGGTAGTATAAATACAGTAATTAGTTAGTGATATTGTACAACTATTCATTTTTCTTCTTCTCAGTCAACTAATAACAGAGCTTCTTCTTCTTCTAGAACCTTCATTTGTGTCATGGATGTAGCTCCATAACACTCATGCTCTTGAAATCTTGGATATTCGTATGCTAATAACATGTTATCATATTTTACCGTATGTCTAAATATTCAGCTGTAATTACCTAATAAGTGTATTTAGTGCTTTATCGATAATTAACCTTCATTTATACTGACTTTAGGTGCATGATTATTGTTCATATGCCTAACAGGAGACATATGATGGCAAAGATGGATATATAAAAAAAAACAAGTATTGAAAAAATTATAGTGACAGATAGCTTCAAGTTTGAAACCATTTGAAAAAATTAGGAACGTGAAGTTAGAAGCTATGGCCTCAAGCCTTTTCGCGTTCACTTCTCAACTGCATAGGTGGATTCTAATATTTTAATTTTATGGATTCCTACATCGATTTCAAGAATAATAATTGGGCTCACAGTTATATATAGTTAATAAACTTTTTAATAGAAATATATGATCTTATACAAAAGCTACTGGATTTCTTGGAACCCATAATGTATGGACCTGCCACAGTTGAGTGAATAGCATTACTTCTGTCAAATTTCTTTACCAATAATTTTGTTTTCTTTCAAAACAGTGGTTTTTCTCACAAAACTACCTATGGTATTTGCTTTATTGTTATTGTACTCTTTTTTTCTTGCTTATTTGCTTAACATCTGCAAAATCTCAGATTATGTACGGACTGTTGCTGGTAAATGGGTCATTCCATGTGCAGACCACTTAGATTCCTTCTGATTTCTAAGGCATATTGCAGGAATCGGAGATCTAACATTGCTACTCTCTTTTGACGGTGTCACAAGTTTTAATGGCTTATATCCGGTTTGGTCAAGTTTCTCCAAAGTCAAAAGTATTTTTTTTAAAAGCACTTTTAAAAAATAAAAAAAATCCTTGAAAATGAAGTGTTTGGCCAAGCTTTTAAAAGAAAAGAAATACTTTTGAGTAGAACCAGAAGCAAAAGTAGTTTTGGAGAAGCAGAAAAAGTAATTTTTTAAAAATACTTTTTTGAAAAGCACTTTTTAAAAAAATACACGTTGAAGCACTTTTTAAAAGTTTGACCAAACACTAATTAATGCTCAAAAATATTTTTTAAATTAATTAGCCAAACACAAACGGTTTCTCACAAAAAGTACTTTTGAAAAAAATACGCTTTTGAAAAAAATATTTCTCAAAATAAGTTGATTTTAGAAGCTTGACCAAAAGGCTATTGGGCCTCATTTGTTTTTTTTAAGATTAAGACGTCTGAATCTGAATACACATCTGAATATTAAGATGTGTATGAAGATTCCTGAATCTAAATACACATCTGAATATTAAGATGTGTATGAAGATCTGAATACTAAATAATTAAGACTGTTTGATTTTTAACATTTGAATATATAAAAATTTATCTTTATTTAAAATTTAATAAACATAAAATTCAAATGAAATAATAATTAATATAATATTCTATCAATAAATTATAGTGTTTTAAAATATGGTAGTTGCCGATGGTGATGATTAACGATGGTGCTTGCGAATGCCAACTTGAGGCGTGTTTGGTGATAATTTTGGTTGACAGTGGTGGTTCATGGTAGTAGCTAGTGGTGATTTGTAGTGGTGACAATTATTATTGAGGAGGGTGGTGATAGTTAATAATGACATGTGGTGGTAGTAACTGTGATTGAGGAAGGTGGTGGTGGGTGATGGTAGTTTATAATGATGGGCAGTGCCAGCTATGGTTGTTGATGGTGATGGGGTGGTTAGTTGTGGTAGTTGAGGTGGAAGAGTGCTGGTTGTAGTTGAGAATGATAGTGGTGGTAGTTGATAATGGTGGCGGTTATGATTGAGGATGATGGTGGTGGTGGTGGTTGATTATGGTTGTGGTGGGTGGTATGGTAGTAGTTGATAATGGTCGGCGGTGGTGGCAGTTAGTAATGAATATGGATGATAGCCTCTTAATGAAATTAAGTATATGTTATAGATCTTAATTATACATACCCATTAAGACCCATTAAGTGGTTGTAAAGTTGAAAAAACAAACACACTTAATTATTAAGATCTGAATAATTAAGATTCAAACTTTAAAAACAAACACACTTAATATTTGAGATCTGAATGATTAAGATTCAGACATTCATTAAGTCAAACAAATGAGGCCTTAGGTAGTTATAATACCTGGTCTTAATTTAAAAAATGAGATTAATTAACTTCTTAACTATGCACTAATAATGGCATATCTAATAATGAGCTTGCAGTTGCAGTAGAACCAATGATTCACTATCCATCTTGTATAAATGTGAAAACCCAATATAAATGAAGTTCGTCACATATTTTAGAATCAATATTTTTTAGTTTAGAGCTCAAATGTCTAAATTTGGAATATTTAATTACTCCCTTTGTTCATTTTTACTTGTCTAATATTCTAAAAATATATTTTCACTTTTACTTGTCACTTTTATCAATCAAGAGAAGACAATTTCTTTTTTCCTGTTATACCCATAGTAGTAATTACTCATTCAAATCATTTTCTCAAATCCATTAAAAAAGGTTTAGTTTGAGGCGTGTCAAGGA